TACCACTTCCTGCTTTAGACCTTCCCTTGGAATATAATTAAATGTTTAAAATTTCAACTTTTTCTGTTTTTATTAACATTTATTAAGAACTTGCTATGTGCCAGGCATGGTGCTAATTATATTAAGTACATTTTTCTTATTTAGTTTTGCTGAAGTGGATACTTTTATTATCCCCATCTTATAGATGAGCAAATCAAGATATAGAAAAGTTAAATGAATGCTTAAAGTTATACTGTTAGTAAATATTAACAAGGATTTAAATAACATATTGGTTTGCTATTTTCTTAAAGCATTGACTTCTTTTTTATTTGTATAGGTTTTAGAAAAAGTTTCTGAAACTTTTGGATATAGACATTTAGAAGACTTCATGGCTTCTCACTTGGATTATCTGGTTTTGGAATGGCTAAATCTTCAAGATACGGAACACAGCTTATCTGCTTTCCCTTTTATTTTGTTAAACTACACAAACATTGGGGATTTCTATAGGTAGGTTTACATGTGAACTATGTTTAACTTAAAATTAGGTGACTGTTTGGCAATCCCAGCTCTTCTCCCCTAACCCCCCATTCTCTAGCCTCCCCCATGTACAGATGTGGGAGGTTTATAGTATGAGAAGCAGGACAGCTTATTTTAATGAAAGTGTATTGAAGGGAATCCCTGGACTTTGGATCTGGTCCTAGCTGTGCCAGTTACCAGCTATGTGACTTTAGACAAGCCATGTAGGGACTTGATTAAGCCATTCCTTGGGGCTTGATTTTTTTAATCTGCAAAGTAAGGGAGTTACACAAGGAGATCTTAATGTTCCTTTCAGCTTAAACATTTGGTAATCTTTTCTATGAAAAGAGAAAGATAAACTACTAGTGACTGGTTATTTCTGCCTTGTTTTTGTTTTCTGTTGTGTGACTGTAGGACATTTAGTCATTACTTCTATTTTATTTTTTTTTATTTTATTTTTAAAATATATTTTATTGATTTTTTACAGAGAGGAAGGGAGAGAGATAGAGTTAGAAACATCGATGAGAGAGAAACATCGATCAGCTGCCTCCTGCACATCCCCTACTGGGGAAGTGCCTGCAACCCAGGTACATGCCCTTGACCGGAATCGAACCCGGGACCTTTCAGTCCACAGGCCGACGCTCTATCCACTGAGCCAAACCGGTTTCGGCCATTACTTCTATTTTAACGTAAAAGTACTTATTTTGCTAACTCTAACTGTAGAGAAGAAAATTTTGAAGATGGAAAGGTTTGAAACAACTAAAGAGTAATGTGTATATAGGATGATGGGAAGACTGTTCATTATTGTTTAGTGGTCCTTATTCAGTTCGGCAATAATATTCACATTTGTTCTTTGAATTTATAAGTTTCTTTCACATTTCATTTTACAATCATTTACATATATGTAAAAGTCTAATATGCAAAGTGTCCCCTCGGGAGTTCAACTGACCAGTTTGATCACTCGCTATGATGTGCACTGACCACCAGGGGGTGCTGCGGAACGAAAGAAGGCCCTGGCCTGCAACCAGAAGACCCCAATTGGCCCTGATCACATGAATTTTGTGTACTGGGCCTCTAGTTTTATATGCAGAAGTAAACATAAATTTAATTTCTCCTTTTTTTTTATCATAGAATTAGGATAGTATTTTCTATGATCTCTGTTCTTTTTAATGTGACTATTTAAAATGTACTTAACTTCATTTTTCCATTTATAAAATTATGGTAAGAATGCTTCAGCTAGATAAAATAGTATTCTAATATTTATTTAAAGGTATGACTTCAACTTTTACTTACATTTTATCCCCTAATTGATCTGAGATGTAACTTTAAAATTTTAAGGCTCTTTATCTATGAAGTTAAACTTAATATGTGGAAATCAGTATCTGGCATAGACAGTCCATGAATTGTTGTCGTAGTGTTCTCTCCTTTTGATTGGCTTTTTAAAAAATATGCTTTTATTGATGTTTTTAGAGAGAGAGGTAGGGAGATATAGAGATAGAAACTTAGATTAGAGATGAAACTTCAACAATCAGCTGCCTCTGCATGCCCCTACTGGGGATCAAACCTGAAACTTGGGCATGTGCTGTGACAGGGAATCAAACCAGTGACCTTTTGGTTCATGGTCAACACTCAACAACTGAGCTACACCAGTTGCTCAGTTGTTGGGTTTGATTGGCTTTTAAATGAAATGTTTTTAATCAGATATTTAAAAAAATAACTTTTGAATAATTTTTTTTTCTTTTTAAAATTTATTATAATTTGCAGTAACAATAAATGCAAGTTAAATTCAAGCAATACTGAACAATCTATAGAAGAATCTTCCTATTTCCTCTTTAATCTCATTAAATTCATCACTTTTCAAGGAAAAATACAACCCCAAATTTCCATACTCTGCTCTTCCTTGTTTCCACAACTACCTTCTGACATATGGTATCATTTACTTAGGAATTATGTTCATTGTTTTTTATAATCATCTCTACTATAAGTACTATGAAGGTAGAATTTTTCTTTCTTGCTGATGCATCCTAACCATTTAGGATATATATAAAATATTCATTTTTTGATATAAGATGGACTCAAGTAAAAAAGGGTCTAACAATTTTTGATTTATAGTATTTTACATAAATTCAAAATTATTTGAGGCAACTTATCTTAAAACACATATACAGGGTGTGGCAAAAGTAGGGTTACAGTTGTTCTTATGGAAAATAGTACAGTAATTAAATAATAATAAAAGAATAAACCGTTTCATGTACTCACAGCTATATCCTACTTTTGTCCCACTAGTAATCTTTTTTTTAAGATAAAAGATAAATGATTGGTCAATTCAGGTTTTTTTTTCAGTGTAAGTAATGGTGACTAATCAAATTTGGTTAACATAAGAATTATAATTGGATGAACTTTGAGAGGGTTTTTGTTTTGTTTTTTTTGGTTGCACAGTTATCTATGTTGAACCAAGAAATGGAACAGCAAGACTCAAAGTTACTTAGGTAGACCATTGCCAGTCAGGTGGTTGTAAGTCTAGCCTGGTGACAAATGTGACAGTCAGAGCAGAATGTTGGCACACCGGAGGTAATGGAATTTATGAGGGACACTCTGTTTCTACCCACTCCCACCCAATCTCCTAGCTTAGACTTCTGAGCAGGCCTGATCTTACTAGTCTCTTTATGTATTCAGACCAAACGATAGCAGTTTTCAGTCAGAATTAGTCTAGGAGGGAAAAGTTATTACATTAAATCTTGATATCTTCGCTTCTTGGTAAAAGAAATATACTAAAATTCTTGTTAGTCTCAATTTAGCATGAAGCTGTCATCAGTTATTTTTTCTTTGTTTCTCTAATTTGTGCTTTATCTGAATCAGTCTTATAGATTCTTTTTTTTTTGTCAGTTAGTGTTGGTACAACTATTATGTCTTTGCATCTTCTAAAACTGTTAATTGTTGAAAGCCTAAAATCTTTACTGTGAGATTGTTTAGGTATATCTAGACATCTGAACAATTTATATATACTAAAGCTAAGATTACATATCTGGTTTATTAGAGAATCAAATGAAATTAGTGAAGTTAGTTAGGATCTTATGTGCAAGGAAACATTCATTAATTTTTCCTCATTTTTTTGTAATATTTTTTTTATTGATTTTTAGAAAGAAAGGAAGTGAGAGGGACAGAGAGATAGAAACATTGATGAAAGAGACACATCATTTGTCTGCCTCCTGCACGCCCCCTTCTTGAGCATCAACCCATGAACCAAGAGGTCCATGGCATCGAACCAGGACCTCTTGGTTCATGGGTTGATGCTCAACCACTGAACCACACTGGCCATGCTTCATCTGGTCTTAATTAGATTGGCCAATTTGTCCTTACTCATTATAGATACACTTTGAAATGAAGCTGTATTTTTATAAGGGCTGAAACCTTGGAAATGATGATGTGGACAATTGATATGTAAACCAGAGGGAAAGGATAGGATTTTTACATTAGGTTTCTTGTCACATTAAAAAATATTTGTTATATTAGGAAATATTTTCAAACCTCCTTGTGTATCAAATAAATCAGCCATTTGCCCTGTAGTTCAAAGCACTATAATTCTTTATTTGGAGAGCTAATAAATTCATCCTCAAGACTTTCACAATTGTCATACATTTGGCTGAGGTGTAAGGTAGCTGACCCAGGATGTAGAGAATTTATGCTCTTTGT